TTTCCCCCAGAAATGGCCATTCTGTTTCTGCATGTTCTTGTTTTTTGCTGCGTAAGGTTTCAGAGATCCTGGGCACTGTCTCCTATCTGGAGATGGCTGATCACAATGGTTTGCATTCCTAGGAATAGTCTGAATGAAAGGAACTTGCCAAGGGGAGCAAGGATACTCTAGAGCCGCACCAGCCACGTACAGACCACTTTCCAGCTGTTTGCTATCTCTGTATCCAGGATGCACACAGGTTATGGCTTAAGTCAGATCCCAAGGGAAGTAAATAAATTAAATAATCCATCCAGACACCCCACCCATTAACCATGTGGTAATTGACTTTATCCTCTTGAGACACCAAAAACTGTTATCTAAATTTGTGTGTGTGTAAAGCCATCAGAAAGAACTCACGAGCTGCTCTGCTAGTTCATAATCCAGATCCAGCAGGTTAAGCCTCAGAGGTCTGTCGTAGGTGAACCCTCGCCCGAACTCCAGCTGAGTCACCCGCTCCAGGTTGGCCACTCTTTCCAGGCCCACGAAGATCAGGGCTCGGACACCTGCAGTGAAAGACACATATGTGTCACATGGCTCAGGACCTGAGAACTGCAATGTCTGTTCTCCTAGGTGTTTAAAGAAAACATCAGTATAAAATTTGGATTTTAACAGCTGAAGTACTGACACTTTGGACTCAGCTAAATAATCACTTCAGATATGCCAGTAACTAAGCCTTTTGCTATAAATACAGGAAGTAGCCCCCAGGAAATATATTTATGCAGAGTTCCCTAACTCCAAGCCTCCTAGCTCAGGTCTACTGTGGGGAGATTTGAAATACTAACATCTCCAAAGTCAGATAATAGCAGTCTCATCTGTGGGAAAAGTAAGATAATAAATAGAATTTTCTTATAATAAACTGCACTTCCATAAAGTCTCCTTAAACTTTTTGTGTTGACACCTACTGTTTATAGTCAGTGTCACCAAATTCCCAAGTCAACGACAACAGACATGGCTGGTTCCAATCATCTGACT